CTTTCAAGCATTGACTCGATGGCATAATATTTCAAGAATTAGCTAGATGAAATAATGTAAACGAGGAGTTACCCACAAAATACATCTTAAATGGTTTTAGGATCATATTTTATCATATTTCAATCAACAAGTTAACGATCAGCTCAAACACTCACTAATTTTTTTTAACGAAAGAGAACGAGTTTGGAACAAACGAATAGTCAAATGATCATTTTATAACTTTTAATAATCGGGGGACTTATCAAAACAATGCCCTATAGTCACTCCACAAAGCAGTGCCCCATAGTTAGGGACTATTTCATAATTTTTAAAAGTTGAATAACTCAACAATGTAACACTATATAATTGGGGAACCATTTTTGTAATTTACCATTTATTTTACCACCCATTCAGCTTTCTCTCTCTCTTCCCGCGCAAAATTGTTTAGTGCATTTTGGGCGCTGAAACTAATATAAAATTTGTGTTACAACTACAAGTAGAATGTAACCCCTCTACTTTTTCCATTTCGGCTAAGTAATCCCTATTCTCTTCAGTTCTTCTTTTTCGGAATATCTGTGAATTTCAGGCATTTAGAAACTCAAATTAATTCAAATATTAAGATAATTATGTGTAAATTTTTTTGAATGAATATTGTCATATTATTTCCATATAGAAAATAACATCTGCTATTATATTTCTCTAATCATACCCAAAAGCATATTATTTGCCAATTAATGTTTTTCATTATTTGATTCATTTATAAATATATATAAATTAAAGTAAATATTGAATTAGTTACTATGTCCGATACGATCCAATTAAAATTAAATTTCTCACGACTATTAATAACTCTATTTGGATGTATTTTTTTCTTGTAATTGAGTCACTTAAATTTAAAATTATTTTTTTATTTTTTTGAACTTTATAATTTGATTTAAAATATGTTTTAGTGCCATACATCATAACACAGTACACATGCAATCTCTTGAGAAGATGACAAGTTTAGTAATTAAAAAGCTAATACCATGATTTAATAAGGCAGTGAACTTAAAACTTAGAGGGGTTAATTGTTAAACACATAAAAATCTACAGTGTAATTGAAATAATATCCCAAGGACCGAACAAAATATTTGTAGCATATTGAAAATTTGGCGTATGTTAGCAAAGATCCACGAAACCAATGACCTTCCACTACCAGATTGAAGAGGCCATACTTTTCTTACAATTTAACACATTTATTTATATATAAAAATTGGAGAAAGTTGCAGATTTTTGAAGTGGGGCTTCAATGGCGAATCACCCAAGAGCCCGCAAACGAGTCCACGCAACCCTCCCCCGCCGTTCACCTGACGGTAGCTCCTTTCAGAAGTGGTAATATATATTATGTACATATATACGCCTAAAAAACTAATACTTTACCCTGCTTTTGGAGGGATTGTCATTGCTAAATGATCATTGGTTTTTTCTATGCTTAATCTTTTGTGTGATTTGGAAGTTTTTTTTTTAAATTTTATCACCTTTTTTTATGTCGAAGTGATATTTGCGGTGAAATTGTGGCGATTGCTTTGGCTGATATGCACGACTGTGGGCCTAAGAAGAAAGAGTTGAAGAGGTTTAAGGGCAATGTAGGAACTCAAATGCTGTCAAACCAATAATTTCTTTGCAACCCAGATCGGCTTTTAATATTTTCATGTAAATTTCTCACTTCTAATGCCTCACCTTACTTTTTATTCTTCAACATTATCCATCTATTTACAGTTTTTTAAGTTGTTTTGGTATATTTGAGAAATCTTGTTCTTATGATTCTGGTGGGGATCCTAACCTTAAACCTAAAATCTTATAGGGTAGTAGACATAGTATAGATTTTGGATTATGCATTTATATTTATAGAGAATTTCTTGTAGTTATCCGAGATGAGAAAATAAATCGAATTTTATTTGAATTTTTTTCGAGTACGAGTATATGAAATTCAAGTCGAGTCGTGTTGTTCGAGTTTGTTGGAAGCCTGGAATTCTGGATTTTAGTCCAACTCTTTAATGTTAGGAGAAACATGTACTTAGTCTAATACATAGGAGCTTTGTTTATTTGTATGCCCCTTTAGCTTCTTATGACCTGATTTTACATTCAACCTGTTAACCATCTCTTGGTGGGTGAGGAGATGGAAAAATGGTATTAAACTGCAACTTTATGACTGATCTTGAGTTGAGGGATTGTACAAACAAAACCTAATTATTTTCTTTCGGTGTGTTTCTTAGGGAAACCTTTATGGAAACCAACAAGAACGGAAATTTCATTGATATCGACCGGAAGGGTTTTGAAACTTGGAAAAAATGTGTGAGGAGGTAACGGTGATCCCGAGTTGTCATTACTTTCCGTTGCAAATTTTTTGCTGGTATTTCATATCGAGTATTGCTTCCTATCTTTCTTTGTAGGAGAGAAAAACATCTGTTACTCAAGCTGAAAAGGTGAACTCAGCCTACATGAAGGATGTGATTGAAGAGGAGAAAATATTATAAAGGTGAATGGGGTTCAGAGTTTATTAGTGTTAAATTGATTTAAGCTATGTCTAGAGTAACCAAAATACGTTTATGACGTAATTGGTCATATCAATTATTGTGCTTTTGATAACAACGTGGATACATTTTTAATGTTTAACCATAGAACTTTTGTAGATTCTTAAATCTGGAATTGTTTATGGATTCTGTTTTCTGTGATATCACCTGATGATTCTAAAGATACACGATTTTGAATGCATGATCCTCTCATCTTCACATAATTATTGTCGGCATAATTGTTTCTCAATTGTAATGGTTTCTACTAGAACCGATATTGATTAGCTGTGATTTGGCCTGATAATTAGCTTCTCTAATTCTTTCTCCCTGGTGGGTCCTGGAAATTTTGTCATGGTTGAGCTAATTTACTTCCCTTCTTGAACTTGAAAGTTAGCATATAGATTGTCCAAACTTCAAATAGAACAAAGCTTTGCATCTATTCTTACTTATTTGAAGTTATTAAGCATTTTAGCAATGAGTTTCTTTTAGGTGGATGATGAGGCTGATTCTGTGTTGTTTCCTGGAATATTATGATTGCTGGATATGGCCAGAAAGGAAATGGTGGGAAAGCTATAGAGTGTTTTGAAAGGATGTAGTTTTCTGATTTTGAACCTGGCAAGGTTACTTATATTAATATGCTTGCAGCATGTGTAAAGTGTGGAGATGTTGAAACTGCACGTCAGATGTTTGATAACTGTCGTGCCTGAGTGTTATTTCGTGGAATGCTATAATCTCTGGCTATTCCCAGAATGAGAATCACAGAGAAGCAATAGAACTTTTCAGGGAAATGCAGTTTCAAAGTGTAAAACCTGATTGGACTACTGTGACTATCATCCTTGGCTCATGTGCCTGGATGGACTTTCTGGAGGGTGGAAAACAGGTCCATGCTGCGCTGCAAAAGGCTGCTCTTCATACCGACAATTATTTTGCTAGTGGACTGATTGGCATGTACTTAAAGTGTGGGAAGACAGAAACGGTAGGGCATATATTTCTTCCCTGCCGGAGCTAGAGATTGTCTGTTGGAATTCTATGATTGCAGGTCTTACTTTTAATTCTCTAAACAAAGAAGCTTTCTTGCTCTTTAAGCAAATACTGCGTGGTAGAATTTTGCCTACCAAGTTCTCTTATGCAACAGGATTGAGCTGTTGCACAAAACTATCTTCTTTATTTCAAGGAAGACAGATACACTCTCAGGTAGTGAAAGGCGGCTACGACAGTGATGTGTTTGTGGGCACTGCTCTTGTTGATATGTATTGTAAATGTGGTGACATAGATGAGGCACGGAAGCATTTCGATATGATGCCTGTCAGAAGCATCGTTACATGGAATGAGATGATACACGGATATGCTCAAAATGGACGTGGAGACGAGGCTGTTTGTCTATATGAAGACATTATTGCATCAGGTGTAAAACCTGATCGCATAACCTTTATTTCCGTTCTGACTGCTTGGTAGTCACTCGGGATTAGTAGATCAGGGGTTCAGAATTTTCAATGCAATGCGGAGTGACCATGGAGTTGCCCCGGAATTAGATCATTATACTTGCATCGACTGTCTTGGTCGAGCCGGTCATTTTCTTGACGTAGAGCTCCTAATGGAGCAGATGCCATATAAAGATGATCCAGTTGTATGGGAAGTTGTGCTTAGTTGTTGTAGAGTCCATGGAAATGTCAGCTTAGCTCAACGAGCAGCAGAGAACTCTTCCGGCTCAACCCTGAGAGCTCCACACCGTACGCACTTCTAACCAGTATCTATTCTTCTTTAGAAGATGGGATGATGTAAGTGCCATCAGAGAGCTGATGAGTGGCAAACAGATTGTTAAGGATACTGGCTATAGTTGGACTGAACAGAGAGCAGGATATAAGTTTATTTGTTAGGTGATAGACAAACTTCATTAGCTCTCAGAAAACAGAGCTTAACATTGTATTATTCAGTGTTCCAAATCAATATAAAGAGTTTAACATTTGAAGGATTAATTAGTACATTGTATTATTTCTGTAAAATATTGTCACACAGACACAAACTTAAAAGCACGCTATAAAGCAAAGCATTAAGACATAAATTTGACGTGAAAAAAAAGCAGCTAATATTCATAACCAGCAAACCTGTCCATGACCTTGGCCACACTATCTTTGGACTCCTTTAACAGCTCGATGCTCTTTTCAAGCTTCGCACGCTTTGCAGCTATTATAGGTTATTCCATTGTCATCCTCTCAATTCCATGCCCATTGGCTCCCATCAACTCCTTCACAATCTCCTCCATGTCATTGTTCACAAGATTATGAACACTGTACTGTAAACGCAACGCCATGGAATCAACCAATCTCACCTTAAATATCTTCCAGTAAACACAAATTCTCATCTTCAGTTCAAAAGCTTGCTGCAGAAGCAAAACATTCTTATGCTGTCTAAGATGTTCAATTTCAGTTTCCCCAATACCTTGAAGAACCACACAGGAAGGCGGTTGCGTTATGTTTGGTCCGGTATTTACTTGGCTTATGAAGTAGCCTTGTTGGCTCATGAGGTTCGTCCACTTCGTCATGTAATCAGGGTTACAAGTATAGCCGGTCAGCTTTTCCATTTGTACAATCTCCTTCACCCTATTGATTGATTGCTCCCTCATCTTTTGAACAAGCTTGTGAGCAGCACTTTTGGTGCATACCTTGAGGAGGTAATACATTTCCGAGTGGCGTGTAAAAACTGACATCACCACATCATCTATGTAATCCCAAGCATTTTCAGCGAATTTGACTGGCAGATGCGATATCCTCTCGATTTTTCTTTGTAGGATACGGAGGAATGCTTCGTGGGGAAGGAAGTTTGGTAGTCTGATTCCCCTAACATCTTCCAAAACCTTGATCTCTTCTGCTAAAAAGTCTTTTGCAAGATTACTTTTTCTCGCAGTTGCAAAGGTCATCGGAAAACTTGTCGAGCATTTCGACAAACCGAGCAGTGCCGTGCTTTGTATTGTCATCAGGGTATTCATCAAATTCCCATCTCCAAAGAAGTTTCTTGAGGGATTCTTTAACTGCTCCAATGATCCTGATAAGAGCTTGTGTGGCCTCGGCAATAGAACTGAAAGCGTTGGGCATTTTCTCTAGCTCTGAAACATTCGCATCCAGCTTTGCACTAATCTTTTTCACAATCTCTGGTAAGCACTTTGCAATGATATTAGCCTGAACTTGAACAAGCTTTTGGGCCAGCACTGGAACACCCACCACAGATTTATCAATACTTGATAAATTTGTATTAGTTTCGAACAATCTGGCCTCTTCCTTCCTTGCTTCTTCTTGGGTCACCGACGAGATTCCTAACACAAACATAACCAAGTCCTGTATTCACTTCATTTGCAGTAATCCTGTCGAGAAGCCCTTCGGGGGCCTTATCGGCCTTAGTAACCACAGCAAGAGTTCTCTCACCAATCTTGTCCACTTGCTGCGACATCCTAATGGATTCACAGGTTGAAAAATCGACGGTGGCCGACAAAACATTAAGGATAATGCTTTCCTTAGGTGTTATGTACTGCACGATGATGTCTCTGATCTGCTCATGTATATTTTCAGGCTGACCATAGACGGGCACTCTCGTGATTCCAGGAAGATCAACCATGGTAAGATCAGGAACCCCATCCTTCTTCACCACTAAAGTGACCGGGGTGTTGCATATGCTCTTACCACGGCCCGCAACCTCATCAGTTGAGAAATTTATGGCTGTTGCAATGTGGGATTCCTCCGTTGGAACTATTTTTCCATTGTACTCCAAGTAAACCTTTGGCCTTGGACATGCATGGTTCTGCAACCGGATAATGAGAGGTACCCTGGTGCAAATGCCCTGGCTACGAGGAAGATTAACACCGGCCAAGGATTCAAGAACACTAGACTTTCCTGATGACTGGTCTCCAACCACAACAATTGTGGGGAGTTGTATGCCTTCTTTCATCACCATAAGAAGCCTGAGTCTATCAATGACATCAAGCAATGGTCGAATTTTGTCATTGTATGATGAAATTGATGGAGCTTGGGACTTTGCTTGTGCTGCCACAACCCTTGGTATTTCCATAGTAGGAGTTGCTGGTTCATAATCATTGACGACTCCAGTGCTCCCTGAATATGCTTATAACAAGGAAGATGAACTAATCAGCAATCAATTTCACATGAATTAATGAGCAGCATTAAACATCTCATTAACTCAAGAGCGTTGAACCAGACGAGGCATCAGCACTTGTTCCGAAGGAAGACGAAGCGTGAATCCAGCTATTGTCAACTGGACAGTAAATGAAAGGGCAGCTGAAAAATAGGGTAAAAAGAGTCATAGAAAAGCATGATAAAATTGAGAGAAATTTATGCCTTTCCAACACTAGGAGTTTGATCCAACAGCAACCAGTAAGGCTTAACAAAATAACAAACACCATCATAACCACCTCCAGCTGATAACATCAAACAACTTGGAAGAAAAAACTTCAACCCTCAACCTGACAAAGCAGACCCCGGCAAATTAAGAGAAATTTATTAGGGGCATATAAGTAAAAACTCAATCCATAAATTTTATCTATATTTTTATACTACATCAAATTTTTTAATTAAAAAAAATCACATCAACTTTATTATTGAAATTATCTATTTTTTTACATTTGACCAACTTTTTTTTATAATAATCGGTATCCAATCTATTAATCGACTAATTTAGATTAGGTATTACAGAGGTAAGAGCGACCCTTCCAACCCAGTTTACTACATTCAGAATCGTAAAGTTTCGAACTCCTGACTTTACTTAAGGGATCTAGTGCCTCATTCCATTAAACCGACTGATTGTTGATACATTTGACCAACTTTGATCACGGCGGATAATTTAAAATAAATTTTTTAAATTTTAAATTAGTTTAATTTAATTATTTGGTGTTTTTCAAATGTTTGGTTTACCTTAACTGCACCTTAATTAACTTTTAAGTTAAAATTTTATATTCGAATCCAATAATACATTTTGATTTTCATTTTTCTATCATAATGTGAAGCATATTATATAAAGTTTTGAAATCAAGTAACAAATAGCACTAGTAGTTGAGACGTTGCATGATTTCCCCATAGACTAAGGTTGATTCTCCCCCTTCCAAATGCGTCATGATATGTGTTACCACATGATTAGAGAATTAAATATATTGAAATAATTTAAAATTATGACTAAATTGATAGAATGTAAAATATTAAAGACTAAATGTATGATTATGTCAATTTTACTAACTGCCACATCAACACTTTAGTTAACTGATAACAACAAGTGGCCTGATTAAATGCATTTAAATAGTTGGATGATCTTATTGACAATAATTCAAAAATTGTGGCCAAAATGAAAATGGACTATAGTTAAGTGGTCTCTGGTATAGTTTACCTTTTATTTAAATCATTTATATCATCACGTTTTAATTGTATTTTGGTAACTCATTATTAAAATATTAACGACGATATTGATGTGTTACCATAAGATAATTTCATGTCAATATTAAAAAATAAAAAAAAATATATCATGAAAATGTCATCGTTAATTTTTCATAATTGGTGGCTAAAACAGAATAAAAAGTAATATTAGATAAGATTTTAAGAAAATAACAGTTATAGGTGCGTCTAACTGTTACCGAAAGTTTAGGGCTTCGCTGCACTACACTCGCCCAAGTATAAAAGCAGAATTTTTTCCCAGTTTTCTCACAAACCAAAGCCTAGCTATTTAGCCGCCGGAAGCACAGAGCCTCCATAATCAACACTTCTTCCTCTAATCATGGTTAGATCTTCATTTGATCTCCAATTTTGTATTCTGGTTCTTTATCAAAACTTGGTCTTTTTCATAAATTTTATCACTGATTGTATCTTTGTTGTCTTGTAGACTTTCAAACGTAGGAATGGTGGCCGCAACAAGCATGGCCGTGGCCATGTCAAATTCATCCGCTGCTCTAACTGTGGCAAATGCTGTCCCAAGGTAGTTCTCATCAATATTTTCTTAGTCCATTCTTCGGATTTTTCTTTTTTAATTTATGCTGAAGTTTTGTTTTTCTTTTAAAATTGGTTTTTCATTGTTTGAAATGTAAAAGGATAAGTCGATCAAGAGGTTTTTGGTGAGAAACATTGTGGAACAAGCTGCTGTGAGGGATGTTCAGGAAGCCTGCGTCTATGACTGTAATTTTCATTTTAATTTCTCATTTATGTTCCAACTTTGTCGTTTTATTGCTTATGTTGAAATCATTGTTTGGTTAATTATGTCTAGCTTACACTCTGCCGAAGCTGTACGTGAAGATGCAATACTGTGTTTCGTGTGCGATCCATTCCCACGTTGTGAGAGTCCGATCACGCACTGATAGGAGGAACCGTGACCCGCCCCAGCGCTTCATCAGACGCAGGGTACGTTTCTTTTATTGACTGTAATTCGATGATTCACATATGCTGATAGGAGTATGTCAATGACCTATGTTTTGATGTGAATGAATTATGCTTGTTTATGCATTGCTTCTTGTTTGAAGGTATGATTCTGTTACCATTTGGTGCAGTGTTAATGTAATTTCAGCTGTTGAAAAGTTTTTTCAGTTTGTGTTGTAATTGTGTTAAACATGGCCTAAGAAACGGTTAATATGTGATTAAAACATGATAATTTAACATGGATTATGCTTGTCTTAAACGTGAAGACACATTCAATTTTTGCCTTATAATGATATTAAAATAAGTTTTATGAGTCTCTTGTGGTAGCTTATTGATGATTATGGGTTGAAAAGTATGCCTTAGAACTAATGTAAATGATACTTGGGGATCATCAATAGAGATAATAGCAGAATTTAGCTACACCTGAAACTTAGAAACCCCATACATTGAAAGCTGTAATTGGTGAGCATCACGTGGTGATGTTTTTCATCTCTTTAGGGACCAGTCTTCTCCTTTGGCTTAAATTTGAGGTGCTTTAGGTATGAACTAGTCCCTCGTATCTAATATCCATCTGCTCACTTTGTCAGTTGCCTTTTTCCTGTGGCATTCTGATCATTATAAGATGGAAAATGTCTTTGTATAAATGATACACGGCAGTTATCTGTATCCGTAAAGAATTTTAGCAGATTCCTGAATTGAATTATTTGCATCATTTGTAGAAGATATTTGATCTCATAAAGTATTCAATAATGCTTTTGTCAAGACATGTACTTTCTAAGTACACATTGTTGATTGTATCAGTTTGATTATAGGAATATGAGTGTTGTTGCTTATTTATCTTCCCATGTATCATGAATTTCATTAATCAAACAGAAATAATTGTTATTGCTGTAATATGTGATGCTCATTACCCTTTTTTGTAATGCTAATAATTTTGCTTTCATGTTTCTTGAAAATTTCCCATGTTACGACTACATTGACTGTGTGTTTGATTTTAAATCTTTTAGGATGACATGCCAAAGCCGGGTCAACCGGGTCAAGCTCCGCGTCCTGGTGTTGCCATTCCTCCTCGTCCTTGAGGATTATGAAGATTGAATATTTTATTTTTCTTTAAAGTGTCTGCTTAATGCTAAGAGCATGGAGACGTGTAGTGAAGTTTTGATTACTTAAAGGTTTAATGGCCATTTTGACTTCTTATTATTTCTGTAAGCCATGATGATTGAGAATGCTAGTTGATAGCTCATAAAGTGCATATGCTTATCCAAACATAATTATTGTTCATGTAATGTTGCTGGCTCTTTTAGATTATCCTAATTAATTTTGCATAATTACAGCTATTACCATTAAGTTTGGGTTTTGTTCATAGTCCTCTGCATCAAAACAAATTGGGTTCTATTCGGTATTCAGTATTCTAAAGTGGAGCATGATTAAGTCATATAATTATGAAGAATTCGCTCTCCTTTTGAAGAGTTAAATACTACCAATCCCACCATTTGCCTTATCTTATTTGATAAAATTTAGGTTAAATTATACATTTAGTACTTAAATTATTATTTTTGTTCCATTTTGATATCTAAACTTTATTATTTTTCAAAACTTTACCTAATGTTTGTTTAATTTTTATTTTGATATTTTGCCATTAAAAACTTAAGAGTGTGTAATATCACCTCATCATCAAAAAAAATATCATGTTAACAATTCTATTTAATACTTAAACATAAATTATATAAATTAGTCTTACATTTGATAGTATATCATTCACGTTCATTTTAATAGTTTTGACGATTATTGTTTATATTTTCTTAATATGTTGAACTAAATATGTTTAATAAATTAGTTTAATATGTTTAATGTTTTCAATTATCGAGCGCCACACATTGAAGGGTGTATGAATGAGCGTTTATTATCAAATAATTGAGAGTTTTAAAACATGTATTATTTTGTATTCACCCATATAAATAAAAAAAATATAAAAGTTAAATACATTTTTTTATGAAACAAACATATAATTACTATTTTTTCATAAAAAGTAAAAATTACTTATGCAGACTTTGTTATTAAGAAAATGTAACATGTCAGACACATTTAGAACAAAAATCACACTAACAACAATATTTAAACAAAAAATATTAATTTTAAATTAATATTAAAAATTGAAGATTATAAAGTCAATAAATCATAGTTTTATCAAAGATTTGTATAAATAATTCAACAAATTAATATTAAATCAAGATGTTAGAAGTTTCATGCAAAATCGATATCTAATATTATTTAATGAAAAAAAAACTTAATACTCTTTAAAAAATTTAATTTATCACAAGTAAAATCATAATCTTATTTTCTAATAATTAGTCAATAAAACTTTAAAAAATTAGAAAAAGCCGTTTTGAAAATCTTAAAAGATTGGTTTTGTTGGAATAAAGTAGAGTTGAGATTTCTAAAATGTTTAGTGGATAAGGAAAAAATATTTTTTTTTATTTTATAAGGTCTAAAAATATAAATTATTTTATATTGAAAAATAATATACTTTTACTTTTATGGGTCAATTGACCCCTATATTCTCCACATGGCTTGCACATGTTGAGACGGCAATGACTTTTTTGCATCACAATTTGAGACCGGTGGAATTGTCACAAGGACTCGAGCATTCAAAGTAAAATACCAAACCTCCAGACCAATTTCAATGGGTTTAATTTTTTATTTTTGAGATCAATAGTCTAACACCATGACCTAAGTTGACAATCTTCCTAACTGGTTTGGTTTATCTTTTTATTAGTCTCAAATTAATCCTTAATCATTTGACAAATAAACGTTTATACACCCCTAAAAACGCCGTGCTCGAACTTAATACTTAAACAAAAATATTTTAACTATTGAAATCGCTTAACAATACTTACAATTTAAAATTACTCCCTTCAAACTTTGTACTGGACTAGCTATAAAAAGGACATAACATGTCATGTCATGTTTAATTAATCTTTTGTTTCGTATTACCAAAAAAGCAAATGTGCTCCTGCATATGATAATTGGCATTAATACTGCAAGCGCTACCATTTGTGGTGTCGCGGTCGAATTTTAAATATTATATATTTTTAATATTTATTTTTAAGAAATATCCAAAAGTTGAGTTCATTGACTTAATGATATATAAAAGAATACAAAATACAGTAGTTTTTTCTTTGTAACACCAACATAACAAGAATATTGTAAGAATATTTCAAAATACATATACATATCACATTAATTCAGTTATAATTCGAAAAAATAATAATATAAATACAACATATGATAATTGTATAAATATTTTTTTAAAATTGCTGCAATTGTATACACAATAAATGGCTTCCTAGCTAGTTGCTTAACTAACCGAAGAACCACTTTCTCTGAAAAATAACGTGATACTTCTCCATTGATAAATCATAAATTTTTAAAAAAATCCATTAATATCATACACCCTATGGTTCTATAACCACCGTGTCTACATTACTTACTATTATCAGAAAAACAAAATCTAAAAATGAAGGTATAGAATTAACTATGTCTATGAGTGTATAGCAGAAAAAAAAAAGAATAAGAAATAAACTATGTGGGTGGCTAGTTGTTGATGTTGTTGATTCCTTTGCTGGGTGCGGAGGGTGGCACGGGTGTTACCTTTGGAAGCCTGCTGAGGATCATCGGTCCGTACTTCGCGGCTAGTCTTTGAGTCGGAGACCTAAGAATCGCCACATCGGACCTCTTCATACGGTGGTCGCAAGGCTGTTCTGATTTGTACGAAACGGCGTCGGTTTTGTGGTCTTCGACGGCGGCGAGAGCAAGGTCCAAGGTGGGTTCTGTAGCAGGCAGTCCGTTGGACAACAAGTCATCCAAAAGCCTAGCTGAAGACAGTGAACAAGTGGTGAAGATGAATAATAAGAGTAGCATAGCGACGAGCTGTTGGGGTTTACAGAAGGAAGCCATTGATGGTTTTCGAGTGGTGAGGGAAATCTTGTCGAAGAAAGGTGGATAAAGTTTTAGAGTAAATTAGTTTTGTAGAGGAAGTTTGATGAATCCATGGCTTCCCCAGGGGATTATTATATATGCATGAAACAAAATGGAATCCTGTCTTGAGTTGACAAAGTCACTTCGGTTATAGAGTAAACGCCCAGTCCACGCGTCACTTTCACGCGCTACTTAACTTCCTTTCCATATTCATAGAAAATGTCATTGAATTTAATTAGTTGATTTTGTTATTATGTTTTTAGTCAATTAAACAAATTAATTGATCATTAACTCTTTTTAACCTTATTTGAATTTGAAACTTTATATATGATTAACATTACTATAGTAAATTATACGCCCTTCGGCCCACAAAAATATCTTTTATTGACTTTTTAAAAGGTTATTTTTTAATTTTTGACCATGATTATTTTAAATATTTTATATAATTAAATTTTATAAAATATATATTTGAAAACTACTTGATTGAAGGTTTTAAAATATATTTTTACATAGTTTTATCGAAAATAAAATTTGAATAATAACTAGTCAAAGTTTAAAAAAAAGACTAAAAAAGTCCATAATGGACATATTTTATGGGACAAAGGGAGTAATTATTAATAAAATGTTTGGTGTTTTAAATTTGAAAAAATGATCAATGAATTTGATTTTTAAAATTTATAATTTAAAATAAAAATAATATTTTTAAATTAAAATTTGATATTTAATCTGACTTTCATAAACGATAGAATTTTGTTATATCTTCTATAGTATCTTAATATGACATTTAATAAACTCACGTGATTTAAAATCTAGTCTATGACAATTAAAAAATTTAACTGTCAATTTACACATAGTTATTGTCACCTTAAGTCATGACACCAACATTAAGTGGAGATTTAGAACGATATTATTTCTCTCTTTTATACTCCTATCTCAATATTTATTCATCATTTTTTAATAATGTTTATTATAAAATTATTAATTATAATTCTTTTTTTAAACTAAAATAAATCAGCTGTCAACTATTGCCGTAACTTAATGAAATGTCAACAAATTTAATATATAAATATTGCAAAGAATCAAATGGATTAGGCAATACATGACATGAGACGGCTGACTTGATATTAAAGGTGTATTTGGTTCACGGAATGTAAAATTACTAGTGAAAATAAAAGGTTATCAAGAAATAAGATTATTGGGAATATTGTATTTTGTGTTTGATTGGTTTAGCATGAATGTAAGATTACCGTGTTTGGTTAAAGGAATAAAAGATTATTGGAATGTATATTTGATCAAATTGTCCTTATTATATATTTGTTTTTTAACAAGTTGAAAAATATTTATATATTTTATTTAAAAAATTTAAATTCATAAAATTTATATAATTTTTTTTACAAAATTGAAAATATAAAAAGGTTTAATGAAAAGGTAAAATTTTATTTTAACCCTTGAACTTCATATAAAATTTTAATTATAGATTTTTTTTTTGTAAATCTAAAATGGTTTAAGGATAAATTTGTAATTTAACCTTCGTAGAATTTATACTATTTAATGACATAATAAGAATATTTTTAAAGAAAAAAAATTTAAGGGCATTTTAGTCCAAAACGTCGATAATCTATCAATACTTAAAGAAATGGGGTAATGACATTTCTGGTAATATACCTAAAAAATATACTATTGATAATGTAAGAGTACCGGAATTACATTCCCGGTCAACCAAACGGAGAATGTGTATTCCATTCCCATGACAATCTCACATTCCCCAACCAAACACATCCATTGGTGAGTCAAATAAAATAACAAAGCAAGTTCATGGAAGTTTAAAGGCGAGTGGAAAATGGAGAGTGGGGAAGGTAAGAAGAAGAAGAAGAAGAATAAGAGGAAGAGATGGGGGCAAAGACGTGAGGGGTTGACTAGTATGAAACACGCCAGCAATTGGACTACGCGTTCCACACTGACTTGTATCCCACGCATATCCAAACACTTCCCAGTAGTTCCCACCGCTTGAATTTCAATTTCCACCGACAGCTATTTCTTTGGGCTTGGCCTTGGCCTTGGCCTTGGCCTTGTTCAGCCAATTCTACCAAAAACAATCCCATTTTTAAGTCCAACTTTATTGTGGTTTGGATTAGGATTGGTTAAAACAAGACTATTTTATTAGCAATTTAATGATATGATATTTTTATTAATTTTTTAATAATTAATATTCTATTAATATTATTTATATTTTTTATTATTATCCTCAATCCAGTCTTCTCTCTACCGTATCACTTTCTCCCAAGCGCTTTCTTTCCATCCTTTTATATTCCTTGTTCCTTCCAATATAAAAATCCTTCCTTTTCACTCGAAACCAAAAGAAAAACGTGCCTTAGATGGCTCTTGAAACGTTCCACTGCCCCACCGTGATGACATGTTGGACCGCCACTGTGTTGAGCCATGGACTAAGAGGAAAAGAACGAAACGACCCGGAATTGAAAACCCACCTACAGAAGAAGAATACTTGGATCTTTGCCTTCTCATGTTGGCTCAGGGAACCACCGCCACCACCAGAAACAACGTCTCTGTCGCCGCGAAAAGCTCCCTCAATCATTACAAGTGTAAAGTTTGTAACAAAGCATTTCCAACTTATCAAGCTTTAGGTGGACACAAGTCCAGTCACCGGAAACTTGTCGTTAGAGTTGATGAACGCCCTACTTCCACCACCGCTCCTGCTACTGTGTTCACGCCGCGTCCGTTAGCATCGTAATCAAAAGAGTTTGTGAAAGTTGAAACTTTGTTTCCAATTTCCTTTGCTACTGTGTTCTTTCCACACAAAATTCATTTAAAAAAAAAATCCTTTTAAGTTGTTCTTCACTCCTTTTTAACTTTTCTCATATGGGTTTTCTTATTTGTATTTTCTGCTTAAAGGGATTATCTCTGATCTGTTTGGTTACCGAGAAAATGGAGAAGAGAAGACGGTGGAGAGAAGATTGGGTTGAGGATAATATTAACCTGTCCATTCTCTTTAAATGAATCGAATTGGTTTGTTGGTCGAATTGTTTTTATGAAATCTTTCACCTACCAAAATGGTGACAAAAACCAAGTCTTAATCAAATAGCGTTAATTATAATTATGTGACAGTAACGCTATGAGTCGAAACCCACCACTAATGCCTCTAATTCGCTGCATTAAAGCTCACACAATACTTTCTGATTACTGGAAAATTTTAAAGCATCTCCTTTGAATGACTTCGACGTGCTCCTGGCCCAGGGCATTAGGATAATATATTTCTTTACTTTTTATAATAAATTAAAAAATTATAAAATATAATAATAATTATCATGAATTTATTAAAGTGTCAAATGTTCTTTTTGAATTTTTATATTAATGCTGATAAGTTGTTATTCCCATAAAATTTTAATTCAATATTTCTTTCTTTAAATTCAAAAAAAAAAAAATAAACACTTAATTGAATCTTTTTAATTTTGGTATTTCCAAATTTTCTCGATCAATTCATCAAATCTCTTTCTAGATTTTTCTATATTAACAAAAAAATTGTTAACGTTATTTTGTTCCTTCAAAACTCAACGAGAATAAAAAATTTAAGTATAATTAGGATGTTTATTTTTCTCTTCCATGTTTCACGATTCCTCTGAAAATTATTATTCTCAATTTTTTAGTTCATCATATTTCTCACAAACACAAACACAATTATTTATTATCAAATGTGGTGCTTGAATCATATTGAAGATTGTTCTTAAAATTCTAGGCAGGTCTCGTTTTCAAATTCTTTCTTTTAATTTTTATATATTTTTAAATTTTAAATAAGAACGTTCTTTTGTTTCAAATGTTATGCATTGAGAAAAATATGTTATAAAACATTGACGTTGACACCATCATCAATGATTTTGCATCAAGAAATGCTCGAAGGAAATGTTTATTGTAAATATTTGTATGCTTAATTTTTTTTTAATTTTTATATTATATAAATTATTATTTGTTTAATTTAATAAAAATCTGAAAAATATATATTACATATTAAAAAAATAAATTAGGAGCCAATTTTTTTTATTTTATCCCCAGCCAAAAGATAATCAGGACCTGCGAACGTACCCATTCTTATTTTAGATTTTTATTTCTTTAAAAGCTCTGTTTAATGTTTGGCCATGTATACGAAATTAGGGATTAAGTTGAAGTATTACTCCTTTTATAATAAGTGTAGTTTTTATAACACTAGAAAATATCGGGAAAACAAGTTAGAAATATGGTGTCGTTCTAAATAGTAAGAGGTTATTATAATATAATATTTATTTAAAATGTTTATCATATTGATAATGTATACATATTTTTATAGGCATAATTGTTTGAATTTAAATTGTAGAATAATATAATCTTAACTTACTGATAATGCACATACATTCTACAGAATACAGATGTAATTGCTCGAACTTCAACATTCTCTTATATCACAAGGTTCATTTGATGCGTTCTAAAATTATGATACTCCTTCTGCCCCATGAAAGATTTCAATTATTGATTTTTTTGTCAATTTCTTTTAACCTTGACTAATTATTATTTAAATTTTATTATTGATAAAAATATATTTTAAAAATACACAATCAAGCAATTTTCAAATATATATTTTATAAAATTTAATTATTTAAAATAATAAAGGTTAAAGTTAAAAGAAATGGACTTTTCAAAAGTCAATAATAGACATTTTTTTGTGGGAATGAGGGAGTATTTTTTTTTAATTAAGGAACTTAATTTTGAGTGGATAGTAGTGACAGATCTAGAAATATTTTTAGGGTGAGCATATATGTTAATAACATAAAGTTTTTAAATGAAATGGATACAAATAAAATTTCATGATGGACACCCTCCGTAAAATAAGTAACTAATCGAAGAAAATAAAATTTTAGGATAGGCATGGAAAATTTTACGGTAAAACTATCAATAAAATAAATAATTAATCAAAGAAAATTTAGATTTGATGCGGACACCAAGCCGGGGCTCCGCCACTGGTGGATGGGATACCGATTCGTGTATATTAGAATTTAAGGCTGTTTAAACTTTAAACCGCGTAACCGAAAGTGCAGTGCATCTAGATTTGAAATCCTGGGGGGCAAAGAAAAAGGGTATGAAAATCTGGGAACAGTGAATTGGCAGGAGACAAATGCATATGGAGAATGGTGAACCACATGGCCCATGCATTTACTCTTTTACATTCTTGATTATAATATTCTATGTAGATGTGTGTGTTTTCTTTCATCATATCCTCTCTAATCAGTTTTCTTTTTTCAATATCTTTAATAGCCAACAGTTGTATCCACGTGTCGCTCAATATTAAATATTAAAACGAATTGTATAATTAATAAATAATTCTAATACGGATATTAAAACATGAAAAATTTAAAATTTAAAATTCAACACTGCATGGCTTTGATCGTCATATCACCCTTTCTTATGTATATCAGCTAAGCTTATAATAAAAGGGAAGAGGATCTGCAACCTTTGTTCTTTTATCTCATTTCTCCATGAAAACCAGCTTTTGAATTGATCATGTGTGTTACTGATGTTATCTATTTATCTCGTTAACTTTTTTATAGTTTTACATCCAATTATTTAACCTGTGACCGTTAGCATTAATGTCAAAATTAAGATCATGATAGTTATTTATAAGTTGCATGACTATTGGACATGATCATCTGATAACAATTTTAACCTAATATATCACATTAGTCTAATCTTATCAAAACATTGTGGATAGTCAGAAAATATGGATCTCTAGAGACTTTAATAAGTGGAAGAATTCTTCTACAATAGACATAAAAATGATAATTTAATTATGACATATCACGTGAGTTTATGAATCTTCAAAGACTTCGATCGATAGTGAAATTCTTTTAAAAACTTCAATAAATAAAATAAAAATAAAAATTACAATCTACAAAAGAGATCTAAAAGAAATATACCTATAAAAAATCCGTCAAGCTGTTTTCCCTCTTGTGTTGTTTAGGACCTTTAGGTGCAGTAAGGTCACGGACGTGGTGCATTCAAAAGGCAGCAACTACACACGAGACATGATGTTAGCATCTGTAATCTTCTACACATAAATTCATTTCTCATTTACCGTTCCTTTTCAGAAACAGAGAGAGAAAATTTTCATATTTGATCATTGCATACTCCGGCCCTACTTCTTTTTATGAATCAAAATAATATTATTTTATATAGTACATTAATTATAATCATGATACCCACCAAACATTGTGCCCTTATAAATCACCAAGGTGGCCGTATCTTAATTTTCTCCAAAACTTGTTCAACCTGCTGTAAAAGAAAAAGCAATCCAGCTTGTGAGAATGGCAAAGAAAGAGCTTAGAAAGCCCACTTTTCTGTTCCTTTTTGCATTACTGCTTCTCCTGATGACCAGTAGTTCTCAGTGCAGGGCGGAGGGTATCAGCAGGCTCAGTTCATCAACAAAAACAACAAGAAAGCTTTTAGAACAAGATTACCCAGGACATTTTCCCAGCGTTCCAAGTGATTATGATTATAATGATTTCTATAGGAGGCAAGGTGATGTTCCGAGCCCAGGAATCGGTCACTGAATATATATATATATTGCCATGCATGCATGCTCCTTATAGCTGGTTGTTGTTTTCTCTTTGAATCTTCTAAATTGTTTTTTGTTTATATTTCCCGTATTCTCTCTCCCTATATATATATTTTCTCAGGAAAATTTTTATCACGTCATATAAGTAAACTTGGTCAAACTGAAGTGATGTATGTGTGTATGTATAGAGACTATATATATATGTTTGAGATATATAATGAATACATTTATGTAATTTGTGGGTTTTATTTAGTTTTACATTTTGTATGGAAAATGATGGGTTTTTGCAAACAGAACAATGATTTTTTGTTGTTGATAATTTGATTAACTAACAACTCATATCAAGGTCGTTAAGTCATTTCTCCTGGCGTGTACTACTCCATTTAGATGTTTAAATTTATTTAGGTTGAAATTTAAAATAATTTAAATTCTAAAGGATTCGGATTCAATACAACTTTGAAGATAATATGATTTGAGCTAAACGAAGAAAATGTAAAATTTCATATAAGAGCATGGATGGATTGAGAGGGCTTTCGGTATCTCGACGAAGTAGTTCTTGTGCGTAACCCGATGAAAGATCATGATGAAGCCGCTCATACCGGGAGAAAGGAACGTGTTGGACCAGGGCATTAATAGGACGGTTAGCTTCTTGTGAGATCCAAATGAAGTCGAGAACTAATCCTCTTCGTTGTAGCATCGAAATAGCTCGAACCAAAACCAAAGGACTAGTGTGAGCATAACTGTCATTGAGAGCCAGTATGGCTCTTGAACAATCTGATTGAACCTGGGCCAATTCAAAACCATAGTGTCAAGCAAGACAAAAGCCATCATGAGCCCGGAGTTCTGCCTGAAGCGTATCCGAAATTCCAATAGCTCGTCCGAAACCATGAATCCACGATCCAAAACTATCACGAAGAAGACCACCAATAGCGGCATTTCCTGTAGTTAAGCATATTGATCCGTCTGTATTGAGACGGATCCATCAAAGCAGAGGAGAGTTCCATTTGATAAGTGTGGAGTTTCGAGATAAGAGTACCTACTGGATGGATTGATTCTTTGAATCAACATAATGCCTCGCCCGTATGATACTATGATGAGCAATAGAGGATGACGTGTGATTAGTTCCGGTGAAGATTTGATCATTACGAGATTTC